AGTCTGATATTTTCCTGCATTATCTATGTTTGTGAGTACTCTGCGTTTATTGCCTCTCTCTCTCTCTCAAGAGTATTATTTAAGAATGCCTCAATGGTTTTTGTTAATTTTCAAGTGGGGACAACTATATATGCATCCAAACTGAAATGCAAAATTGATGTTGGTATTAGCAGACAGGCATGAGCGATTTGAGTAGCCAACTAATAGATTGTGTATTGAGAAACATAGCTCCTATTTTGACTAGCAATTATATGCTATGCAGTGGAATCTCATGGCACTTCTTGATCCGATGGCTGCTGTGGAAAATCTTATATACATTGGATATGCTGGTGATCCTTCATCTACTATTCGTGTCACTCGAAGAAGACGTTTAGACCGTAAGAAGCAGCAATCAGATAGAAATGTCTACCAGTGTTTTGTTTTTGGGCCTAAAGAAGCTGGAAAATCTGCGATTTTGAATTCTTTTGTTGGAAGGTGTGTGTGTGTTTTTTTCCTTGCCCTTTCTGAAACTTTTGGTGATGAGGCTTTTCTTTATCTTTAAATGAATAGGAAATGTATTTGGACTTCCTATTCCAAAAAAAAAAAACACAAAAAACCCTAAGAAGTTTGATTACTCATTCAACTGCAGGCCTTTCTCTGAAGAATATGAATCAAATGCTGATGACAGATATGCTGTTAATATTGTCCGTCTACCTGGGGTAACTACAATTTCATCCATTTGTTTACCTGATAGGGAAATTGATTGATGTATGAAATGAAATTTAGTGATGGGAATTTTTACATTATCTTTTGATCTTTTCACTCTTCTGAAATCTTGAGTTGGAAAATAGTCTGAGGGAAAAATGTCAAGGGGACAGTAATAATATGATTTTAGTTGAAAAGTATAAGCAATGAAGCTGTAAGTAGGTTAAGATTTCTTCTTTCTTCTTACATGCTCTTCTGGGGATGACAGGGTGGAAAGAAAACTCTAGTATTGCATGAGATACCAGAAGATGGAGTGAAGAAACTTCTCTCTTCAAAAGATGCTTTAGCAGCTTGTGATGTGGCGATATTTGTCCATGACAGGTGTCTTCAATTTTCTTTGGTTACATCATTCTATGTTATGGATATAACCTTTTTTTTTTTTTTTTTTTTTTTTTTTTTTTTTTTTTTTTATTTTAAATTAAAAAAAATCATTTCACCTCCTAAAGGAGAAGTACATACCATAGATAAAACTGCACCCAACTCAATTAAGTCCTAGCCCCAGAATACTTGGGAGTTGGGACTACGGGTGAGCTAAAATGAAAACTCTGCTTGTCTTTAGTTTTCTCATACATCCTCTCTGCATGTCTTCTAGTTTACTCTTACATTCTTTATTTTGATTTTGGTATCATTTTTATATTGATAATAGTTTTTTTTCCCAGTATGGTATTGTTTTCCCTTGAATGCCATATGTTTATCATGCTTTTCTCTTACCCATTTGTTTCATGGTGCTTGTTAGTTCTCGTGAGGCATCATGGAAAAGAGCATCTGAATTGCTTGTAGATGTTGCTAGTTATGGGGAGGCCACTGGATATGAGATTCCTTCTCTCATTGTCGCAGCTAAAGATGATCTGGATCCTTATTTGACTGAAATACAAGATTCAACAAGGGTAACCTGCCCATTATAGACCTGTTTTAGTGATTACTGAACTTTGGATATAGATGATATTTGAGCATTTGTCAATCCATAATTTATTATAGGGGTGAAGTTCTGTTGTGTGTGTGATAAGTTGGCTGAAGTTTATGAATTAGTATGCCATACAAATTCAATTTGTATCTTTAAAGTGATATCCCCTGGCATAATGTATTATATCTTAAGGTTTATATTAGATTACTAGACACACACCTCAGTGGTTAGAAATCTTTGAACTGAGATGTCAGGATCATTTGATACATTATATATTAATGGAAAGTTCTATTTTGTGTGTAATAAGTTGGCTGAAGTTCATGAAATCTCCAAAATGTTTAGGAGTATGCCATATAAATTTAATGAAAATGCCTAGTACCCTTACATTTACCACTCACAAACTTGCCTCTCCCTAATATTTTTTTGGCAACTTTTAATTGGTTTGATTTTCCTTTTCCTTCTTTTTTATTTCATATCTTAACCAATTACAAATTGCCACATTAGGGAGCGGCAAGTTTGTGAGGGGTAGGTGTAGGGGTACTAAGCATTGTCCTAAATTTAAATTACATTTTAAAGCATGTTTCCCATTCTGAAACTGTTGTATATTATAAATTTTATCAATATTGTTGAGCAATTGCAGTTATTGGGTAGAAGTCTTTGAACTGAGATGTCAGTATTATTTTGTGTGTTTTTGTTTCTTCATGACAGCAATATTCAGTAATTCAGACTCCATTATTTTTACTAGTGTCTAGAAGTAATTTGCTGAATTTGTGATGTATTGTCTAACAGGTTAGCCAGGATATGGGGATAGAAGCTCCTATTCCAATTAGTACAAAGCTTGGAGATTTGAGTAATTTGTTCCAAAGGATTGTTAACGCAGCAGAACGTCCCCATCTGAGCATTCCAGAGACTGAAGCTGGCAAGAGTAGGAAGCAATATCATCGGCTTGTCAACCGCTCTCTTATGTTTGTATCAGGTATGCACAAGGATTTAAAAAATAGTTAAACTCCCGCCTAGTCCACGGCGACCTACTTGGCGCCTTGGTGGCCGATCACCTAGAACGGCGATTCCGCTGAATTTCTAGGCGGCCGCCGCTGCCTAGCGCCTAGGCGCGATTTTTGCAACATAACATTGGGTGTATGCATATGGAATTTGGAATATGTACCTAGTGATGTCAACCTTAGCCCAAATCTGATGGGCTAGCCCGATATGGCGATAAGCCTGAAAATTTTTAGGGTTAGCGCCCAAAAATGTTAGCTTGATAAAAAATAAGCCCAATAAACCCAAAAAGGCGAAGATGATAAGCCCGATTGTCCGAATGAGCTTGATAGCCCGAACCAGATAAGGCTACTCTTTGTTTCACAAGTGATGTGGAACAAAATATATAGGGAATTTATATGCAAGCTCATCTTTAGTAATTTTTATTAATTTTGTAAATAAAATTTTAATAAATCTATTACAAAATAAAATATTTTTATGAAAATAAATGATGAAAAATAAAAAAAAAAACTTTTTATAATTATTATATTATAGTGTAAATATATTAATTATCTTTAGTTGGAATTTGGAAATGGAAGTTTAGATTTTGATTGAATGATGTATAAGTTTATATTTATTAGTATAAATGCGCTAATTTATTCAAAATTTCAAATTGAAAGTTTAGAATTTTAATTTGAAAATGTCAAATTTAGTTGAGCCTGCTCCATAAGTCTGATAGCTTGAGGTTTTAGGGTTAGGCTCTTAGGGACAAGAATTTTAAACTCAACCAGAAAAAAACTGACAAGCCCGACATCCCGATGAAGCTAGTCCAAAACTGAACGGTTGACCTGATTGACATCCCTATGTGTACCTTCTGTGTTTTTTATTTTTGCAACACGTAATTTTATAATTGAAAAGAAGGAAAAAATTAACTTGGCACATACTTCTAGTGTGCTGGCATTCATTGTTAAACTTAGAACTTAAATTTGTAAATGAATATTGCTTTCAACCATTTTGTATATTACAGTATTGGCTTAAAATTTACTTTTAAACTAAATTCTGTGCATCCATTCTCTCGTATATTGTAAATTTTCTACATTAAGTTGCAGAATGGCATAACCCTCTATCTATTTCTTCCAAAAACCAATCTTTACAGTTTCACTCAATAAAAAGGAAGAATATGCTTGCATCAATGATGCCTGTGTAATGTGGGGAGTGCTAACTAGACACTTCTTAATGTTGGCACAGATGCACAGTCTCCTTCCCTCTAGTGTCTTTTTCTTGTTTATATAATTAGAGACATGGCTTAACTCTCTCTTAGTTGGGTCCTAACAGTTCGTTGTTATGATATTTTGGAGTATTGAATTGCTAAATATTTCATATTTTCACATAGTCTCAAAGTCTACCATCCTAGCATGTGTGGGTGGTTATGCCATAGTTAATGATCTTTTAGTATAATAATCGTTGTTATTTCAAAGATACAACCTTTATTCATGACCTTGAAATTTTAAATGTTTGGTAATGCAGTTGGGGCTGCAGTTGCTGTTGTAGGCCTTGCCGCTTACCGTGTTTATGCTGCAAGGAAGAGCAACTCTAGTTGAAAAGGTGAAGGGTGAGATGTTTCCATTTATGCAGATCACCGCTGCTGATTTTGTTTACCCTAGCGTGAAATTCTCATATCAAAATTTTAAATATTCTATACAGTTAGCTGTTTCCTAGCAGGTTTTAATTTGCAAGTTATGAATGAGCTGTTTTTTTAGTCAAAAGTGGTATCTGCAGATAGAAAGAATTGATGATAGCAATGGATGCATGTTTGTGCAATAAAAATGATTTTGGGCCTTTTGGCTAATCAGACATTTTGTCATGCAAATTTGATCTTTTGTTGGTTTGTTGGCAAGTTTTATTTTTTTGGTTTTATCAAGTTGGTCTGAATTAGTGTATAAGAACTTGAACCAGTTTTTGAAACATTATTGTCGACTTCGGGTTTTTGAAACATTATTGTCGACTTCGGGTTGAGCAAGCATTTATGTTGTTAGGCCATGCTTTGTTTTTAATTATTATTATTTTTTAAAAAATTCAAACCGTAAAAATTAAGATATTGTTAAAATAAATGGAATGTAACATTTTCTATGAATAATGAGATGCATTATAGGTGGTGTGGTATTTTGGTTGGTGTGCTTGGGAGTTATACGGTGTGGTATTTTGGTTGGTGTGTTTGGGAGTTGTTACACCATGGACCAGGTGGATTGTGAGTAAATTGTGAACATTTAGTACGTAAATTGTAAATATCTGAACTTGGGTTCACCTGGTAAGGTGTGTACGTAATTGTAAACATTTGAACTTGGGTCCACCTGGTAAGGTGTGAATTCGATTCACAGAATAATTTGCGGTGTGTTTGGACATAAAGGACGTTTTGGGAGCAAAAATCAAAGTTGTTAAGTTTTTAATACCTATCCAAGCAAGCAAGCATCTATAAAACTTTAAACAAATAAGTAGTGTTGAAAATCTGAAAATTAAACAGCTCTACAAGCAATGGTGGATGCACGTGCACGGCCGCACACATAACCGAAAATTTTAGCTGGCCGGTCAATCTCCCCATTATTCCCTTCTCTCTCTAGCTGCAAACAGTAGGTATTGAAGGTGTCTACACTCACATGCAGCCTGAAATCAAGACTCGTCAAAAACTTCATCTCCAGCTTGTTCAGTTCCGAGTTGCTAATCCCCCCAACCTTTGCGTAGTATGCGTTGTTATAACAGCTGCACCACCCACCATACACATTATTGTAATGCAATGTCTATACAACTACCAATTATCACGCAAAACAAAAAGAAGCAATTTTTCAAGTATATATGCACGTTTAATGCCATGGCATGTACTGACCTCTTCCATATGAGATCGACAAAAAATGAAATTAAACGTGCATACTTTTTTTTCGGATTGACAATATGTTAGGGAGATAGGACGTCATGTGAAAAGTCAAGTTCAGCAATTGATAGCTAAGAGGAGTATTGGGTCGTAGCCGGCGAAGAGGTCCAGCACCCAGCCTCTCGAAAATGTGGTGCTGATATATAAAGAAATAAAATTTATATAGCTCTGACTATAACTTTTGATGTAATGGTAAGTATTTGCTCTAATCACTAGTATTAGACTCAAGTTACAGATTCAATTTCTATAAAGAATAAACTGTACGCTTAGGAGATTGTTGGATGAAGGCCGATGAAGAGACAAGGCAGGCACTAGGAGGGGGAGCAAGCGTTTGATCTTAACACAATATAATCCTCAGCTCCCTCATTCAGCAGGGAGCTAAGGTTAATATATTCATTCGTAGGAATTGAAATTAATTAGATGAGAAGACTTACTCATCGTCTAGAAACTTGGCAGCCAACATGATACTTGTGATCAAAAGCCGGTGAACGTTGAGTGACGTCAGAAAACCGGCGGTCTGGCTAAGGAAGCGTTCCAAGTATATATAGGCAACGACGAAACAGGCCGGACTACAGCTGGAGTACCTGAAAATCCGATCAATATACTGATGAACACTCAAAGAAGGAGGTCTGGCGCCGTGAAATGCAGTGATCTTCACATCTTTGTGCTTCCACCCCTTCATCATCTTCTCATTCTTCTTAATCATCTTCTCCACAACTGATCCGAGAACCCACACGATTCTCGGAGCCCCCTTCTCTCCTCCTTCTCCTATCTCGTACTCTTCTAGCCCCAAGTTTTCGTAATTAGTCGCTGCTGAAACATGGCGGATAGTTTTATCGAGGCTCAGAGCTTGAGCTCCTCCCATGGGGGAGAGAGAGAGAGAGATTTGATCGAGCTGAGCTGAGCTGAGAGATCCAGAAAGGAATTTGAATAGCAGTGATTTTGCTTGCTTTTGTTTACAAGGAATTTTTTTCTTTCTTTTCGCGTTTGTTTTACGTCTACCAATATTTTTCTTGTTTGGGGAATTTTGAAAAAGTGAGAAATCATTTTGTCTAGCATTTACCCATTAACGTGCTACCTATCATCATCATTCACCTTCTAACACAACTCATGTCATGACAAGTAATTAGCTAGTATTTACGATTCTTATGTGACAGATTGTGGGCAAGTAATTAGTATAGTTTATTATTAATGTATTTAGTTAGGGAGGCAAAAGAAAAAGCATGTGTGATAATAAATTCTGTTTTATTTATTGGTTCACACTTTATGTTAATTTTTTTTTGTTTTTTTTTTTATTATTTTTATTTTTTTATATTGACATGTTAGATGATTGTAGAATTTTATAGTCTTTGTAACTTGATATTAATGTCAATTACCATGTAGTGTTGATGACATCCCGATTACCATTTCAAATGGATAGTCATAGGTCCGAACTCCATTGGTGGGAGTTTTTTGTACTTTTAGTCCCACGACTATAGTGGCATTGGTAGAATTGATCCACAACTTTTGAACCTTGCAATTTTAGTCCACGACTATTAATTTTTTTGTAAAAATGGTCCTTCCGGCCACTTTTCCGTCAAAATTTCACCGGAAAAAAAAATTCTTCATTTTTAGCCGGGTTAAAATTGGCATTTTACTTATCTCAAAAAATTAAAAGAAAAAAATTGATATTTGACTACATACAATATTACTGGGCTACATACTACTGCCCCAGGCGGCGGAGTTCCTGGAGCAGGCAGGGCTGTCAGTAAGCGGCGGAGCGCCCGTGGCGTTCCCCGGGCTAGTTGGGTTATCCGGCAGCAGCATTGGAGTGGTACATATACTCCGCCGCCTGGGGCAGTAGTATGTAGCCCAGTAATATTGTATGTAGTCAAATATCAATTTTTTTTCTTTTAATTTTTTGAGATAAGTAAAATGTCAATTTTAACCCGGATAAAAATAAAGATTTTTTTTTTCCGGTGAAATTTTGACGGAAAAGTGGCCGGAAGGACCATTTTTGCAATAAAATTAATAGTCGTGGACTAAAATTGCAAGGTTCAAAAGTCGTTGGATCAATTCTGTCAGTGCCACTATAGTCGTGGGACTAAAAGTGCAAAATATTCCCATTGGTGGTGACTTAGTTTCGATATTATTTGTTATTTGGATGAGGTCCACCAATTCATAAGTCGCAAATTATTCTGTGGACCCGGGTCTAAATATTCACAATTTACCTTTTTAAAATTTACAATTTGTATACTACGAACACACAAATGTGACACAATATTAACATATATATAACTGATTATCTTGTTTTGTATTCACAAGTTCATTTAAAATACTACAGTCACACAATATTAACATATTAGAATTTGATGATATTGTATTATATTCACAAATTCCCTTCTACAGCTGTTATGTGTTTTGACTTAGAAACACAGTTTATATTCTAGAAGTTCACAATTTCAATACTAAAAATACATAATTTATACATCGTTTAAGTAATAAATATTATAGAGTATATAGTAATTTTAGTATGTAGGAGAAAATATAACTTGTTATATGAATTTGTCTCACGTTGATGAAATTCAATTGAAAATGATAATTTATTTAGCTTAAAATGACTTCGACTTAGATCCAATTCTATACTAGTTTGTCAACAATCTTTCTTATTGGCATGTCTTGATTATGATTGAATAACTTCCAATCTTTTGAATTTTAATTTACCCATAAAATAAATCCTAACTCATACAACGATTATATGAGCTAACACGTATTATTATATAAAAATACAATTCTCTAAAACTCACTTGACTATGTGAAGTTGAAATTCATGATATAATTTGAATAAAAAAATATCTTTTAAGAATAAAAAGAATAGTGTCGCATAGACTTTACAGAAATATTAAGATTTCATTGGTCTATTGCCTATATAATGATAGAAGGTAGGATTGATAATTGATAAGGGCAAATGGGGAAAATAAATGAAAAGTTTATGGGTGCTCCACTAGTGACTAGTGATTCCCCTCTTTCCAAGCTTGGTATCGAAAATGTGAAAAGAATAAAATATTTTTATATATTGGATGCTTCATTTTCAAAGATTTGAATTCAAAAGAATGTATCCAAAATTGTATCCATTTTGTTTTTACTGGGAGAGTTAAAATGCACAAAGGAGCTGAACAGGAATTGAAGTAGAATGGCAGATAGAAATTTTGATGCCAATCAATCTTTTTTTTACCTCATCGGAAATAATGGAGGCAGAATTACTATACCCTATACAGTATTCACCATTGATTGGAAGGGAAAAGGAAAAAAAAAGAAGAATAAATTGTGTTGTGAAATTCGACATATCCTTGCGTGAATTGAACATGCATAATTATGCGCTGTAAACCATACAACAAATAAAAAAGATGGAGAGAAAAAGAATATCCGAACCCCAGAAAATCAACCTTTTCATTAATAACTTTTCTATATATAAGTACCTTGTGCTAAGATAGTTGTGGGCTGTGGCTCCCCTTGAGAGAAGGTCACATGATCGAACCACGCTGGTGGGGTATTGACTCATTGGGCTACAATGCAACTCAATTAAAGGAAAAACCTTTAGTTAAGAAAATAATATGAAAAACTCAATTAAAGGAAAAATAGTACAACTATTGAAGGAGTTCGAACCCCCTCTCATATGGAAAAACCACTCTGGTCAACACTTTGCCCCTTCATGATTGATTCAAGTAAATGCAACCCCCCCCCCCCCCCCCCCCCCCCCCTCTCAGAGAAAACAATCTTCAAATTTTACACATAAAATATCTTTCCAAAAATGCAACCTATTTTGCCCTCAAAAGAGACGACCAATTCACATCAAAATTGACGGAGGACCATATTTGACATAAATTCAATACTTGATGACTTAATCAGTCAAAAAAAAAAAGTCGAGGACTAATTTGGTACTTTCGCTAAGTCGAGGGACGAAAATGGTAATTAACTATATTTGAGTGTATATTGTCTAATGAAACTGTAGTTGAATTAGAATTATAATTTAGTGTTGTAATTAGGCTACAATGTGTATAAAATGAAATTCAATAACAGGTCTCACTGTAATAAGACTATTGTATGTATAATGTCGAATGAAACTATAGTTGAAACAAAATAAAATTTTAGTTGTGTTGAAATAAAACTACAATGTATCTAAAATGAAACTGAATATGTTATACAAACAGAATTAATTAAACGGAATGAATATTGTAATATAATATAATATTTTTTTTTCTAAATTGAATATTGTAATATAATATTATAATATTGTAAAATTAATATTGTAATATAATACAACATACAAAGGGCATGTTTGGCAATCAGCGGTTAGCGGTAGCGGATTGTATTAGCGGTTAACGAATAACGGATTGTGTTAGCAGGTTTGACCAGCGAATTGTATCAGCTGCTTGTAAAAAAATGTACAGTAAAATTAGCGGTTAACATGTAAAATGACCAAAAGAGTATAATAATAATAATAATAATAATAATAATAATAATAATAATAATAATAATAATAATAATAATAATAATAATAATAATAACAAAAAAAAGAAAAGATGTGGGATCAGATCCCACATCGTTAGTTAAATAAAAAAGGGGCGTTGGCTCCCTTATAAAAGGGAGCTCAATGCCCCTTTAATTGTAATGTTCACCTCTTGCCCATCCGATGCCCATCCCACATCGGATGGGCAAGAATAGAGAAGCTTGAGGTTTCTTTAAATTCCACATCGAATGGGTAAGAATAGAGAAGTCTGAGACTTCTTTAATTTAAAGAAGCCTCAGACAGGCTTCATAAATTACAGTGTAATTTTTTTTTTTAAAAAGTTGGAGGGTGTTTTGGGGAAGGAAAGTTCCTTCCCCAAAACGCCAACTCAACCAGTTGTTAAATGCAACGTGTTGAATTTCATCGGTTTGGAGCAATTTGTTGTTCCAAACAGTGACTTTGGCGGATCCGCTAATAACCAAACATATTGTGACTAAAGTGTTGTCACAATAAAATAATGAAATATTTGGTCACAAAATGTTAATTTATTCTGACATTTATTGTTATCACTCAAAGTGTAAGTAAATTTTGTCACAAAAGCCTTGAGTAATTGAGACAATTTTTCGGAAGATATAGTGACAACATGTGACTATTTCAAAAATTGGTCACTAATTTTATTAGTGATCAAAATTGATAGTTTTGGTTACAACTTGTGTTATCACTAAATGTGAATTTTTTTATAGTGAAAAGATAGCTTGGTGCATAGGGGAAGAAGCAAGCATTTGGAGTAATAAAAATGTATTTTAGAGTTTCTATTATGCTTAAGCTTGAATACATATTAGGTTTTACAACCATTCGAAAAGAAATGCAATAATGATTTCAAACACATCAAAAAAGCAATGAGAAACCATTTCAAAATATGAGATGATTGTAATACCTGAACAAACATCATATGTGTATAATTTCAAATGAAAGTGTAGCGTAGTTAAAATGATACTGTAGTCTTTGTCTATGAAACTGTGAGGTGTATAGAATGAAACTGAGCATGTGGTGTTACATGTTGTTCGGTATAATGTCAAATGAAATTGTAGCGTAGTTAAAATGATACTGTAGTGTTTGTCAAATGAAACTGTAATGTGTATGTAATGAAATTGAGTCTGTGGTGTCACATGTTGTTGTGGTCCCTCGAACATACAAATTCAACGGAGTCTATAAACCATCAATTCTAGTTGAATCATTTGTTGGTCATTTTGAGAAAAATTACTTACAAGTGTTATTGTGATCAAGTGCGGGCATTTTAGATTACAAACAAATGTGATCAAATTTCAAATCAAGTTTAAGACTTTGGCAGATTCAAGCACATTCAAAGGCCAAGTCTACATAGTTGCAGAAAAACTTCTTTTTTTTTGGGTGCTGATAGATACCCCAAATTAGCCGCTTGAACGGGAAGGTCAAGCTAGGCAGCTGGG